CAAAATGGTGACCTTATGCACATGGAATAGTTAGTAAATATAACAGCAGTTCAATGTTATCCTGCTACCTTGAACATTTGCTTTTTAACTGGACCCTAAAAAGGGCAAACTCTTCCCCAAATGAACATTTCAATAAGCAAGGTGTCAGGAACCAGCAATAACTGAACTTTGCCCTCTGATTTTGATTGGGAAAAATAGAAAATTCTTGGAACTCCACATTTTTATCATATATTTATCATGTTTACCAATTTAACATATATGGCACCTATTTTTTTGCTCAATAATCCCTACTAAATTACAAAGTAATGTTTTGTTTTCTTGAATTTTTATGTAATAAAAAATAAATACATATGCAAATCAATATCCTTGTGAATCAACTTCATTTGCATGAAAAAATCTGGTGGTCTATTATCTTTTTTATCTATGATCAATCCAATCCAGAGAAAAGCAATTTGACATTATTGAACCAGTGAAATCTTATGTTAAGTTTTATTTTCATTATATTCTTTGACATAAAATACAGTTAAAAAGTCACCACTTATACTACTTATAATTACCCAGAATTTTGAAATTGGATGCCAATCTCATAAGGAGCTCTTTGTTTAGGATGGTGCCTGGTTTCTTACCTCATTGAAATTTAATTATTTTTCAGTGTGATATTTCTCATACGAGCAGCAAAATATGCATGAGCAATCCCTCCAATAATTCAGTATGAATTACTTGTTATTCTATATTGAAATAAGAGTTAGAAAATAAGAGTTATGGAGGATAAATTTTGCTACTTTTTGAATAAATATCAAATAAATGAACAATCTTTCCAACTACGGGGCATGCTAGGTGCAGTATATTTAAATAGGAAGTTATTTAGCAGTTCCCACTGTCATTAAACATGAGCCCAGAAGTGCAAGCTCTACAATCTTTTGTTTATAGAAATAGAAATAATATTCAGGTGAATTTCTAGCAAGTATTCTAAAATCATTCAGATACTTGCTTCCACTGGAAAAAAGACTTTAGTTCTAATGGAGCAATTTATCATAAGGATCTACCAGAAATATTTAAAATTTGCCAGCAGTATTTTTCATATACACATTTCAGATCACATCTCTCTCTCTCTCTCTCTCTTTCTCTCTCTCTCTCTCTTTAGCTATTTAGAATCATGTTCTCAGCAAGAAACTCAATTAGATTGGTGGTTTGGGAAACAGAGTCATGGACGGCAAGATAGGACTATAAAAAGGAAAGAAGAGCAACTAAGGAGGCATGATTTTAAAAGAACATGTAGCAATTTCAACCCAGAAAAGTTAAAATATATGCAAATTTTATGAGTATTTAAAGTAGTTGGAGTTTATCTCATGTTATATCCACAACTGTGGTAATTTACCATATGCCTTACTCAAGTAGACAATAAACAACCATTATTATTTGTTTGATATAGTATGATGTGCAAACAGGTATGAGTATTTAGGGTCCAGCTATACAGATTATATGTTTGGGAGCAGAAAAGACCTGTGCCCACCTATGATTGATATGCAGAGCTCTGATGTCACATTGCATTCTATTTCCCTAGGAACTCTTAGATTTTTTTCTGCTTGCTTCTATTCGTTCCCATTTCCAGAATTCCTCTTCCATGGTCAGTATTTTCTCCAGTTTTTCTGAGACCATTAGTCAATGATAAATTCAAAAGTGCTTTAGCATCCTATCAGTGGCACTACTGAAAGAAGATGATTTTTCAGTAGTGCAGAAGAGATCTTACCTCCCTGTATTTTGTTTTGCTACTGAGGTACAAAGATTCTAGCAATCTCTGGTGCTCATCTGAGACTCCCTGCACAACAGAAACCCATTCCCCCCCCTTTTTTTTCAAAACTCAGCTTCTCTCAAACTTAATTTTACCATAGACCTATTTTGTTGCCTGATATCCAGTTGTTCTGCTAGACACAGTTTTGAGAATACTAATCTAAAAACTAAGATGCCGGCAATCTTAAGATGTATGAGTGCCCCTTTCCTAACTGTACTTGCTCTGTATTAGTTGCAGGGTTCTTCTAAAGGTAAAATAAAATAGAATAGCATCATTGCTTTGTAAAACTGAAGAGCCTATGCGCATGGAAAGAAGTACTATAACCAAAATGTAGTCTTTCTTCCTAAATTGTAGAGCATGGTTGCTGAACCTATTTAAAGGAGTTAGAAGAAGGCAAATTAAATTCTTACCTCTCTTTTATACTTTTGTTTCCTTTATTAGTTGTTAAATGTAATATGATGGCTGGAGCATGTGCTAGTATTAAAGGCATAGTTGTACAGATTTAAAGATTAGAGGAGCCTCTTATGCCATCAAAATGGAAGAATTACATGTATTGCTAAGGTAAATATTTTCCAAATGGACTCATCTTTCTTGTGAGGAAAGAGCAATTTTGCTATTTATACAAATCCCGATTCTCAAATTACTGTATTTTCTTCTCAAAGGCTGAAGTTGTAGATTTAAGCCCTGCAAATTACTTCCATTTCAAATTAACAGGAAATATTGGTTCAGATCCATTACCATAACTTAGGTGTAGTGCATATAGACACACACACTCTCAGATAAATATCCCAAAGATATGCTGACAGCTTTCAGGAGGGACCACACTTCTTGGCTTGGCAAAGGACTTTTGTTTGGTTGCTTATCACTCCTTAAATATTTTATTTGGCACAAGAGAAGACCTATCCTTGCATCTATGTGAAACATCTTTGATTTCCCTTGACAGCCTCCCATCTCTGAATGTACTATTCACAGTATCTGAAAGCCATCTCTACTCTTGTCATTCTAGAAAATTCTTAGTTATCCTACAAGTTAAAAGTTATTCTTTGATGATAATCCAGATTTCAGAACACAATTGTTACTTTGTTCAAATACTTGTTGAATTTATCAATTATAACCTCAATTTTTTCTTCACATGCCTCCTTGGCCATGAAGATACCAGTCAGTGCTCTCAAGACAAGTACTGTTACCAGCTACCTTAATTCCCTAGGAAAGTGGCTTGTACACATGTACTGTTCAATGCTGTTTGTGCATAAAGGTTCTCTTACTATAATGACTAAATTATACAACATCCTGGAAGCATTACTGAGTCAAATTAGCTTTTTTTAAAGATTTTTAAAATTTATTTATTCATAGAGACACAGAGAGGCAGAGACACAGGTAGAGGGAGAAACAGGCTCCACGCAGGGAGTCCCACACGGGACTCAATCCTGGGTCTCCAGGATCACACCCCAGGCTGCAGGCGGCGTTAAACCACTGCACCACCGGGGCTGCCCAAATTAGCTAACTTTTGAGGGTACTTGCTTCAATCTCCAGGAACAGCTTAGATACTAGAAATATAGTAGATGACATTGGCATTGAATAAAATTATTTTCATCTCAGTGCCTCAGTCCTACAGACTTCTTTTGTTATGCTCTGGTTAAAGAGAGGTTTATAAATGGAATTATTTTCCAACATTCTGTATGGTAGGTTTCACATTAAATAATGAACTCTGATACCTGTTTAAATTTGGAAACTCTTAACATCTTGGAACATGGGGACCGTGTTACTGTACAGTAAAAACTCCACTGGCCTGAGTGGCTGCTGGTTTTTTGGTTCACTTCTGTTCACCCTTACACCCAGCCCACATCATTCATTCTTATTATCCAAGTGGCTCCTACCGTCATTTGAGCTTTGATCCCTTATCTTAGTCTATCACTTATAAAATAACACAAGACGACATTGAGAATCCATGATAGAATATATTCTCTAGACTCCTGGAAAAATAATTTCTCATTTTATTCTTTTGTTATAATTGATATTATAATGAATTGATAATTTTATCTAAAAGTATAATCCTTTTATCATCATAATTAGTATCATCTGAACTCTGTGCTAAGAATAATTGTCTCTTAATTAGTTTTTGTTTTATAATTTCCAGACTTTGCAATTCTGTGGTGAAGAAGGTTGAGCTATTTACCTAATACTGCTAGATAGTTTAAAGTCAAATTTGTGTTCATCAGTAGCACAAACTTACAGCCAAATATGCTATAAACCCTTTAAATGCTTTCTGAGATAAATAAAAAAATGGATAAACAAACAAAACTGTAATCTAAGCTTTGGCCACTTCTCTTTTCCCCAACTTGTGTCTCCTTTTCTTTATTCATACAAATGCTTCTGAATGAAAATTCCTTCATTAGTAATTTACACAGGACTTGTTATTTTCAAATTTGGGATGGTTATTTTTGGTCTATTTGCATAGCAATACCACAGTTCCCTATGTTTTAATGATATAACAGTGAAACAGGCTCCTGAAAATTTCCTTCAAACCCCTATAATTTGAGGCTTTCTAAAGACAGCCAGTAAGGAGTGCAAATCTTTTTTTTTTCTTTTTTTTACATTTTATTTATTTATTCATGAGAGACACACACACACACAGAGAAAGAGGCAGAGACACAGGCAGAGGGAGAAGCAGGCTCCATGCAGGGAGCCCGATGTGGCTCCAACCCCGGGTCTCCAGGATCACTCCCTGAGCCCAAGGCAGGCGCTAAACAGCTGAGCCACCCCGGGATCCCTGAGTGCAAGTCTTAAAAGTTGAACTTCTAAATATGCATACACTGTTGACTGCAGAAGTGTTTTCAAACTCATGTCACCATTTTGTCTGGCACCATTCTCGGGCTCAGTGATGAAGCCCATGATTTTATAGTGAACTCTAAGTGACAGGTGGTGTGGTTCAACCCATTTTTAGACAAACTTTGGGTCATAATCTCCCATTCAAAAACAAGCTGGTGTCACAGGAGCTGTTCTTTTGGGAATCATCTACACATCATACACCTAACTAATCGGGGCCCCAATCTTCTTAAAAATCTCAGCTTCTGCAATCACAGACACTGATCACAGTTATATGTGAGGAATAATTGAAAGGGTGAGAAAGAAAAATGAGAAAAGAGAAGAAATGTATGATGGACTTCTCACTCACTTATTACTTTATTTCAATTCGTCTAAGTGAACAATGCTGACAGCTAAGAAAATGGTCAGAGGAAATTCCACCCTGGTGACTGAATTTGTTCTCTTGGGATTAACAGATCGTCCAGAGCTTCAGCCCATCCTCTTTGTGCTGTTCCTGCTGATCTACTTGATCACTGTGTGTGGGAACCTTGGGATGTTGGTCTTGATTAGGATAGACTCACGCCTCCACACTCCTATGTACTTCTTTCTTGCCAGTTTGTCCTGCTTGGACTTGTGCTATTCCACTAATGTGACTCCCAAGATGTTGGTGAATTTCTTATCAGAGAAGAAAACCATTTCTTATGCTGCTTGTTTAGTCCAGTGTTATTTTTTTATTGCCATGGTGATTACGGAATATTACATGCTGGCTGTAATGGCTTATGATAGGTACATGGCCATCTGTAACCCTTTGCTTTACAGCAGCAAGATGTCCAGAGGAGTCTGCATTCGCCTGATTGTTGGTCCATATGTCTATGGGTTCCTTAGTGGCCTGATGGAAACCATGTGGACCTACCGCTTGACCTTCTGTGGCTCCAATATTATTAATCACTTCTATTGCGCTGACCCTCCCCTCATCCAGCTCTCCTGCTCTGACACTTTCATTAAGGAGACATCCATGTTTGTGGTAGCAGGATTTAACCTCTCCAACTCCCTCCTCATAATCCTCATCTCCTACATCTTTATTCTCATTGCCATCCTGAAGATGCATTCTGCTGAAGGGAGGCACAAAGCCTTTTCCACCTGTGGGTCCCATCTGGTGGCAGTGACTGTGTTTTATGGGACTCTGTTCTGCATGTATGTGAGACCTCCCACGGACAAGTCAGTGGAGCAGTCTAAAATTATTGCTGTTTTCTACACTTTTGTAAGCCCTATGTTGAATCCTATCATTTATAGTCTGAGGAACAAGAATGTGAAACAAGCTTTTTGGAAATTGATCAAAAGAAATGTACTTTTGAAGTAAAATTACAATGTATCTTTCTTTATAAATTAAATAAAAGATATATTTACAAGAACTGGATCCAATTTTAACTACATTTACAATAAAGTCAATTTTAAATTTATAATGAAAAGCTATAATCTAAGGACAAAACATTCAAGACATAGGTACAAGAGATATATATTTCTATAGGTGATTGTGCATTGAGTGTGTAAGGGGTTGGAGGTTAGATATGTAGGTATGGTGGATAATTTCTCTTCTTTTACCCACTTTTACACTTATAACATCATGTGTTATTTTCATACTACTAAAATTATACATGCTTATAGTAAAACATCCAGTCTCTATAGAAGAGTATAAAGTAAAAGATTTTCCCTTTTTTCTTTCTCCCATTCTGATCTTCCATTGTCTCCTTTCAAAGTTATCATTATTAACAGTTTCTTACACTTTTGGAAAATTTCTCTATATCTATGAACCAATGTATAGCTATATATGTACTCACATACACACACAAATTTGTCAATATACACATTGATTGTCATGAGCTAACTTTTAATAGTTTGTAATTCTGTAGCATAGCATTTGTTATGCAGGGGCTTCAGTCCCATGGTATAGAATAATATGACCAAAACTGCCGATCGAGACTTGCTGTCAGCTCTGGGAGAAGGAAGCCATGATGACCGCTCCATGCTCATGCCTGATGCCCATTTATTCCTCCCCACTTGTGAGAAACACTTTCAATAAGACACTTTCCTCCTTCTGCCATAACAGTACATAAAAACTTGGTTAGTTTTTAGATAGTAACTCCTAAAGCAGGCAACAAATGTCTCTCAAAAATCATATGCCTTGCCTCGAAAGAAGTTGTGACTCTGTAGAGTTTATCAAAGACATGCCAGCCTCCTGGGCTCTGTGGTTTTCATGTCTTCCTTTCATCATTGCCTGTTAATCTATTTTTCAGGATGGGACAGATATTTTCTATTTGTAGCATAATTCAAATTTTATCTGCAAAAACGCTCCCTTGCCACAATTAATTACTATATATCTAATTTCAGAATAAACACACTGACTTGTTTGTAAATATTTTACTGCTAAAGAATGCAAAAGACAAGTTGGTTTTTAAAGGCGTTAACATTTCAGGTGATATTGCAGATATAAAGCATAGGCAGAGTTGAATGTTTACCGAGCATCTATAATAAGCTAAGTACTGCTCAAGTACCAAGGATTCCTCAAGGAGTTCTAGGATTGTATAGTTTTGTAGAGTTCATGAAACTGTAAAGAGAAAAATCAATATAATTTGTTAAGTGTTGGTAATATAAGAAAACAGAAGTGCTCATGCAGCAGAGGAAAGAATGCATTCTGAATAAGTTGAAGTTGGTCTTATGTGATTGTATGAGACACGAACTTGTTCATCCTTTGTGTGCATGCTCCAGAATACTCATAGCTACTTGTACTATGTGATGTCAGACCAAGCAGCATCTGAATGAAATAACTATTAGAACTGATTCGTGATCACATATGTACATGTTACTTCCAATGAAATCAGAAAAGCCACAGAACTGTAATTAGCCACTCCTCCAATGGACATGCTTCTCTCACTTATATTTCAAAGCTTCTTTCCTACTTGAGAGCTTACTTCTGTTCAATATTTTCTACAAGGTAACATTTTTATATTTATTAATTCTCTATTATCCCCTATAATGGCTTCAACCTTTCTATTACTAGATGCTGTTTTTTATCCTTATTTTGAAAGTCAGATTGTCTGTGAATACTGCTAAAACACACAACTAGACAAATCACTAGTTTTGTAAATTTTAACATTCAACAAATAGTGTGTTGGATTCTACTTAAACAAATATCTAGGAGTCTATTACTGTTTAAGCACACACACAAAAGCAATTACATAAAACCAGCTTCCTTGTTTCTCCGATTTTCTGATTTCAGTGTCCATGTCTCTATCTCTACAGACTAGCTTGGCACTAAATGAACCTTCAGTGATGATTACAGCATAGAAAGAAAATTAAATGAACCTCCATTTCAAACGTAAATGAAGTGCTAGAAGTTTTGCCTCTATATAAGAGAATGTCTTTGAATGAACCAATGAATGAGGTCATCTGGTCATCTGGAACTATTTAAGTAATATGCTAAAAATATTGCTCAGAAGTACCAGTGACCCATAATGTCATTGACATTTATGACTAGTATTAGCAATATGAAGCCATAGGTATGGTCACATTGCAAAAGTTTAAGATAAAAGAGAGATTTCACCAAGTTCTTTCATGAATTGGTTGGCTGCCTGAAATTACACCATCACACAGTCTATTTTTTAGTTCATATTGCCCTGTGCTGGACATAGAGTAAGTATGTACTCATGCAATGCTTTTTGTACTAATGATTTATCTCAGTAGACCCTGGATACTTACCTAAAAATCATAGAATTTATTTATTAATGCAAAAACCTTCCATGAGGAATTTTAAGAACAGACTCCTCAATTCTTGCTCTTCTTTTAAAGTTAATTTTGTGGGTCCTGTTTATTGAACAAATTAATAAATGTGATGTTGGAAGAATCTATGAGAAAATAGAGAATATTTATCACCCATCCTTAAGCAACATTTAATAACTGCAAGAATTTTTATGCTTTTCTTCCCACCTATCTAAAAGATCATGAATCTAATTGGTCATTTTTTTAAGGAAATCTGATCATGTGTACTTAAAAAAATAAACAAATGTTCTGGGGAATGATAAGCCTGTCTGTAAGGCTAACATTCATGTATCATATATTTCCTTGGAGCACTAGACATCTGAAGAATGTTTAGATTCTCACACTCATACACACAGATAATGACAGGAGGGAAGGAAATAACAACACTCACCAAAGTTCAAGCACTGTTTTAATAGATATTGTTTCACTTAAGCTGCCCACCAATATTATGATTACAGAATTGTCATTCCCCATTTTGAAGATGAGAAAAGACTCACAGGTTGATTGCTTACCTATATTTACTTAGCCATGAGAAGATGTCCAAATGTGTCTGGCTTCAATATTTATAGTTTCTTGGTCCTACTATGATATGCATTCAAAACATTTTTATTTTTAAGTAAACTCTACACCCAACATGGGTCTTGAACTTACAAACCTAAGATCAAGAGTCACATGATCTACTGTGAGGGCACCCAAAAGCTACTCTCCTGCTCTGCCCTTTTTAAAGATTTTATTTTTACATGGTATGATATACTTTTTTCACTATACTATGAAGGGAGAAGCCACAGAATGAGTAGAACTATCATTTTCTCTATTCCAAAAATATTGTTGATCAGGTATTTGACAGCTGACTGCACACCAAATAATACAATCTGCTGTGAGAAAACATCTTATTTTATAATGTATAAACAAATTCAATTTGTTCAATAAGATGAGCTTTGTAGTTAGATCCTGACTCCATCATTTATCAGCAAAATTAATATTTATGAACATAAACTCTGGGATCAGATTTATTGAGAAAGTTACTTAACCTCACTCTGCCTCAGTTTTTTTCTCTGTAAGATAAGTATATATAGTACTTTCTCATAGGGAAGCTGGGTAGAAACATGGTTTAATGAATACATTATACACCTGAAATTAAGGTGACACTGTGTGTCAACCATACTCAAATAGAAACATTTAAAAAGTACCCATAAAGTACTTAGCATAATGCCTGATACATAGTATTCACTCAATAATAGTGAACTGGTTTTTATTATTAACTAGAAAGTTACTTCACCTATTTGAGATTTGATTTCCTGTCATAGGTTTCTGTATTTTTCTGTTGCTATATTTATAATTATTTAGATATAATGCCCTTATAGTTTTGGTTAATTAATTAATGCCTGTGCTTCTCATCTTGTAAATGCCATAGGTCAGATATAAAATTTGAAAGCAATTATTTCTCTGTTGCTTAACTTGGTAAATGGTCTGTGCTCCCTTAAAAGTCAGAAAGGTGATAGAGAAGATAGATAGATAGATGATAGATAGATGATAGATAGATAGATTATAGATATTAGAGAATTCTTACAAACTGGAAATTATAATAGTTGTATAATATGATGAGAATCAGGAAACATATGACACATACTGACGGAATCTTAATTTTGTATGATTTACTCATGTAAATTGGTCTGTTTTTATTTTCTTCAACAGAAGAATTCATCTGGTGATGTTTAGGATGAATCAGACCAGAGAGAAGGAATTTAGCTTCCAGGAGTTGACCAGTTGTCCAGTGTGGCAGCTTTTCTTCTTTTTTCTCATTTTTAGTAATTTATATTTTCTTTCTAGTAGAAATCTTGAGCCTAACTCTCTGGATCACATCCTCATACTATTTCTTCACTGATCTGTCAATCCTACACATTCTGGCTAACTTTTTATTTGAAAAGGTCATTTCCTTGATCAATTTATTTGCACAGTGTAGCATGATCATTTTCCTGTTAACTCAATGTTTTGTCTCTGATAATGTCTGTGACAATCACATCCATATGACCATTTGCTTTCCATGTGGTCACAATACCAGGTTCAAAGTGTTCTATACTTAAATGGCTTCCATTGCCTATATTATCAGTTTCATATAGATTTGTGTAACATCACAGTTGTTTCCTCAAGCACTGGCAATATGGAATATTATCATCACATCTTGCCACTTCACTAAAATGGTAAAAATTATAGTTTACCATAGACCAAATGGGAACTCCAGAACATGCTTAGCAGTATGTGAGAGAGTCCCAGTTTTCACTTTTACAAACTTTCAATCTTTCTAGTCACTGTAAACCATATAAACCTCTCTGCTTTTGAATCCTATCTTACAAATATAGCTGGGCAATGGTACCTCCTTGAAAATATCAGTAGTGGAATCCCTGGGTGGCTCAGCGGTTTAGCACCTGGCTTCTGCCCAGGGCATCATACTGGAGTCCCGAGATCAAGTCTCACATCAGGCTCCTTGCATGGAGCCTGCTTCTCCCTCTGCCTGTGTCTCTGCCATTCTCTCTCTCTCTCATT